CCATGCCAAGACCATGGGCAGGTGCCTCACGACCATGTTGGAGCTCGAGGCACACGGCCAGGACCCCGCAGCACGATTCACGTAGCTTACCTTCTCCATGTGGCTGAAGAACTGGCATGCGCATCCTGAGGTCCGTGCCAGTAACCGACAGGCGTGGCCGAAATTGCGTAGCAAGCTCGAGCGGATGGCGCCCAACCACAGGTCACGGCATATTCGTGGACCCATGGGGGCCATCATCAACCACATTTTGGAGTTTCAGTGGGCGCCGAGATCCCCCACAGCCTGGGACCCTCCAGGTGACGCCAGCTGGGAGCTCCCCGGCTGCAACTTCTCGGGCGTCGAGGCCATCGACATGGCATCATTTCGCGACTTATTGGACGAGGTGAAGGATGCAGCGATGGCTCCGATCTGGCTCGGCGCTGAGCAGCACTTCGGCGGAGAGGGCCTCAGATTCGGCACCGATTGCTTCTCGTATCGGCGACTGCTGGCGCGCCTCGCCCAGGTTCGACCCGCTGGCAAGAGGTTGACAGGCATCATGCTGTCGGTGGCGGTAGGAGGCTCGTGGACCAAGGCGCGCAAGGCAGACCAGTACGTCAAGCCCACGAACCACTACGCAGAAGGTCTGGATATCTGCGATCGCTGTGGGGAGGAGCGGGAGACTTCTTTCCACAGGGCCTGGATTTGCAGGTGCAATAGTGGATCTCCAGCTTATTCTCAGAGCGACTGCATAGTGCCCAAGGCTTGTGCGCAGCACGAGCAGACGCCATGTTTTTGGCTGAGAGGCCTCATACCCAAGGATTGGACTCTCATGCCTAGCCCGCGGTTCAGCGACGACTGGGGCTACGACGGCATCAACAGCTTCGGCCCGCAGTGCTTGCCACACGGCACGGCCGACGCGCCGACGCTGATCTTCGGAGACGCCAGCGGGGGGCCCGACACGGCGGACCCAAGGACACGACGGGTTGCTGTGGGCATCGTGGTGATCAGCGAGTTTCAGCCGCTGGTCATAGATGCCTTTGGTGTCGGAGGCCTTGCAGGCACGCGTCAGACTGTTGCGCGTGGAGAACTCAAGGCACTGTGGCTTCCTGTGCTTGCATCTCACGGTCATGTTCGGTGCACTACGGATTGTAAGTCTGTGTACGACGGGTGGTGTTTGGCCAAGTGTATTCACCCCAGTGGTCCTGACGGTGACTTGTGGGCGCAGGTTGGCATACTTCTACAGCACCGCAGCAGTTCAGATTTCCAGGTCGATTTTATTCACTCGCACCTGACGGGCGAGCATATCGTGGATAAGAAAGCAGAGTCGTGGCAAGTGTTAGGCAACACCGCCGTGGATGCACTTGTGGGTGATGCAGCCCTGGGTGTACGAGCTCCAGCAGGTGATAGGCAGCGGCTGCATGAAGTTGGGCGACAGGCATACCCTGTGCGTCATGAGCTGCTCCGTTCGACTCTCGACAGCTTCGAGGCGGGAGACGCGATGAGGAAACAGGATGCACCGTCTCCCCCTCCTCCTCCTCCTCCTCCTCCTCCTCCTCCTCCTCCTCCTCCTCCTCCTCAACCTCCGTCAGTGAGAGATGTAGCTAATTTTATCACCAGCCATTCCTTAGACGAAGGGGCCCTGCGGTGCCTCAGGTGTTTTGGATTTGCTACGCAGGCCACCGCCCTGCAATGGAAAACGAGCCCGTGTTTCAGTCCCCTGGTTTTGAATGGGCGTGTTATAACACTAAGCCTGTAGGTGTTAAAACTTCATTTAGCGGGGGGGCTGGGTCCAATACACTCACATTATGAATGTGTCGGTTAAGCTGAATCTGTGGTTTTGCCAGGTCTGTGGCTCCTTCTCCAGCAGGCGAGCGAGCGAGCTTCACAAGCCGTGTCGACGTCAGGCCACAGGCACTGGGGAGGAGCATTTAAACCGAATTGACCGAAGAATGTGGCCGAAGGTCCTCAGCAGAGCTGAAAAAGGCCGCTCGTCAAGGGTCAGCACGGTCGTCCCCCCAGGTGTAAGGCCGTTTTCCTCTCACTTAGTGAACTGACATTCCCATTCCCATTCTCCTCCTCCTCCTCCTCCTCCTCCTCCTCCTCCCTCCTCCTCCTCCTCCCTCCTCCTCCTCCCTCCTCCCTCCTCCCCTCCTCCCTCCTCCCTCCTCCTTCCTCCCTCCTCCTCCTCCCTCCTCCCTCCTCCCACCTCCCCTCCTCCCTCCTCCCTCCTCCTCCTCTCTCCCTCCCTCCTTCTCCTCCTCCTCTTCCTCTCCTCCTCCTCCTCCCTCCTCCCCTCATGCTCCTTCTCCTTTTCGTGCTCCTCCTCCTCCTCCACCTCCTCTTCCTCCTCCTTTTTCTCCTCCTCCCTCCTCCCCCTCCTCCCTCCCTCTTCCCTCCTCCTACTCGCTCCTCCTCCGCCCTCCTCCTCCCAACTCCCTCCTCCCTCCTCCTCCTCCTCCTCCTCCTCCTCCCTCTCCTTATCCTTCACTCCTTTCCCTTATAAATAACGTCTCTCTGTTGCACCCCGAGGTAAGTTTTTAGGACGGGCCGGGCGTTTCGCCTGAGACGTTCTCACCATGTACGACCCTGAAGCTCAAACGTTGACAACAGCTTCACAGATGGAGGGCGGGCCGTTGTCAAAATGTGGCTCTCGCATTCGCGCCGCGCACACTCGTCCTAAACATGTGCAAGATCTTCACAGAGTGGGGGCGGGCCGCTTTTAACATGTGGCTCTCGCCTGGGCGCCGCGCACATTCGTCTTAAACTTGTGCAAGAGTTTCACAGATGAGGGCGGCTCCTTTTCAACATGTGGCTCTCGCCTTCGCGCCGCGCAGATTTTTAACAATTGCAAGAGGTTCACGGATTGAGGGCGGGCCGTTGTCAAAATGTGGCTCTCGCCTTCGCGCCGCGCACACTCGTCCTAAACATGTGCAAGAGCCTCACGGATTGAGGGCGGCTCCTTTTCAACATGTGGCTCTCGCCTGGGCGCCGCGCAAATCCGATATTTAATTATCCCAGTGCGACCCTACGTAGGAGTTGGAGCCTCTAGGAACGCAACATTAGTAGGAGCGGTAAACGCCGTCCTCCTCCTTCTTCTCATCGTCGTAGTTGTAGCAGGAGCGGTAGTAGTAGTAGTAGTAGTAGTAGTAGTAGTAGTAGTAGTAGTAGTAGTAGTAGTAGTAGTCGTAGTAGTCGTAGTAGTCGTAGGTAGTCGTAGTAGTCGTAGTAGCTGTAGTAGTCGTAGTAGTAGTAGTAGTAGTAGTAGTAGTAGTAGTAGTAGTAGTAGTAGTAGTAGTAGTAGTAGTAGTAGTAGTAGTAGTAGTAGTAGTAGTAGTAGTAGTAGTAGTAGTAGTAGTAGTAGTAGTAGTAGTAGTAGTAGTAGTAGTAGTAGTAGTAGTAGTAGTAGTAGTAGTAGTAGTAGTAGTAGTAGTAGTAGTAGTAAGTAGTAAGTAGTAGTAGTAGTAGTAGTAGTAGTAGTAGTAGTAGTAGTAGTAGTACTACTACTACTACGCTACTACCTACTACTACACTACTACTGCAAGGACATCTACATCGACACCTACATTTACATCTAGACCTACATCTACATCTACACCTACAGCTACATCTACATCTACACCTGCATCTACATCTACATCTACATCAACAGCGAGATCACATCTACACCTACATCTACACCTACATACATCTACATCTACACCTACATCCACATCTACACCTACACATCTACATCTACATCTACATCTACACTTTCGCATTGGTTTTGCTTGTGCTTTGCATTTCCTTTGCTTTTGCTCTTGCCTTTGATTTTGCCTGTGCAGTTGCTCTTTGCTGTGGGCCATCTTGAGCCAAGGGCTCAAGATGGCCCACAGACGAACAACATGCATGGAACATACGTGCGCACACACATAAAAGTACATGTGTATATATATATATATATATATATATATAGCAGCAGCAATAGTGGATGCTGTGCTGCGCTATGCTATGCTATGCTATGCTCTGCTCTGCTCTGCTCTGCTATGCTATGCTATGCTGCGCAATGCTATGCTGGGCTAGGCTAGGCTAGGCTATGTCATGCTGCGCTATGCTATGCTGCGCTATGCTATGCTATGCTATGCTATGCTTTTGATTTGCCTTCGCTTTTGCCTTCACTTTTGCCTTTGCTTTTGCTGTTGCTTGGCACCTTAGGAATGCAACTGGGGGAAGCGCGCGTTTGCTTTTACCTTTGATGTTGCTTTTGCTTGGCTCCCAGGGGACTGGGGGAACCGCCTGGGGCGGTAAGAACCCTTCTAGGCAGAGCCTAGGTAGGGAACAATTGCAAGAGGTTCACGGATTGAGGGCGACACCTTTTCAAAATGTGAAACTCGCCTTCGCGTCGTGCACATTCTTTTTAAACACTCGGGCGAGTTTCACGGGTTCCCATGGTCAGCGTACCAACAATGGTGTTTTGGAAGGATTGTGGATCATGAGAGTGCAACAGTTACGTTTATCCGCGGTGCTGAAGTCCCAGGAACGGCGTTCTGGCACGATTCAGGATCGCTAAGACGCCACAGTCAGGTTGATCTGTGGCGATGGAATCCCGAGAACAAAATTTTGCCATGCTTCAGGGTCTTCTTCAAACGGTTGTCTTCCAACGAGGCAGTTCCCTGTGGAAATAATCCGTACTAGGGGCCTAATCGAAGGGAGCTTGGAGAGAGGGTTGATTCCAAAATCGTTGATGACTCTTGCGTTTACACCGGTCCTCCTCCTCCTCCTCCTCCTCCTCCTCCTCCTCCCTCCTCCCTCCTCCTCCTCCTCCTCCTCCTCCTCCTCCTCCTCTCCTCCTCCTCCTCCCTCCTCCTCCTTTCTCCTTTCTCCTCCTCCTCCTCCTCCTCCTCCTCCTCCCCCCTCCTCCTCCTCCTCTCTTCTCCTCTCTTCTCCTCCTCCCTCCTACTCCTCCTCCTCCTCCTCCTCCTTCCTCCTCCTCCTCCTCCTCCCTCCTCCTCCTCCCTCCTCCTCCCCCCTCCTCGGCGCCGCGCCTCGGCGCCCAGCCCGCCGCCCACGAAGGCGCCCGCGTGCGACCTCGGGCGGGCGGCCCAGGGCCGCGCAGGGGAGGGGGGGGAAGGGGCCCGCTGCTGCCCGTCGTTCGGCGGTGCGCCCGGGGTGGGGGAGCGAGGAGAGAATCATGCGCGCACTGACCCCTCCCTCCTCCGTCTCCTCCTCCCCCTCCATTCTTCATCATCCTCCTCCTCCTCCTCCGTCTGCTCCTCTCTCTCCATCCTTCCTCCTCCTCCTCCTCCTCCTCCTCCTCCTCCTCCTCATTTTCTCCTCCTCCTCCTCCTCCGTCTCCTCCTCCCCTTCCATCCTTCCTCCTCCTCCGCCTCCTCCTCCCAAAAAGCACACTCCAGTCCCGTGATCCTCTCTGGCGGCAGCCGCTCAAAGTGTCTGAAAAAGATGCGCGGCTCCTTGCTGACCGTCCGGCGCACCGCCTCGGGCAACGAAACGCGAACACTCAGAATCGTCAGCGAAGCGTCCTATGGGGGGGGACGTAAGGGGGGGATAGCAAAGGGTAGGGTAGAGAATCAGCTCACGTGGCTGATTTTCTCAGCGCCTCCTAGCGCCGGGAGGCGCCCATGTATCGAGGAATGGGCCCGGCGGCGGGGCCGAAACCAGCTGCAGCTTGCAGCAGATTTCGTACTGCCCCCTTTCCCATCCCCACCCTCGTTCGGCCCGAGAGGAGGAGCAAGCCTTTTCGGAAGGCTCGGAAGGCCTCTGGTCATCCGAGGAGCTTCCCGAGCATTCTCCGAGGACGCGGACCACTTCTCAGGAGGCCAGAGGGTTTCTGAATACATGCGCAAAAACAATGACAAAGAATAGAAAAATCGCCCCCCGACTATATTCTGCCAATTCTTGAGCATTCCTCCTGTAGAGGGACACGCCGGACTTCCAGCGAGGGCTTGTGGGGCCCCCTTCGGTGGCCCAGATCTGGCCGAGACCCGCGCCTTCCCCCGAATCGGCGGTGGACAAACCTCCCTTTAGTAAACCTCCCCTGAGTGAAAACGGCCTGGGACCGAAACCGACGGACCTGGACCCGCAGAAATGACGGCCGCGACGCCCTCTCGCGAACCGCAAACGGCCGATTCCCGAATCGACGTGTCAGGGTAGGAGGTCTGCCCACCTCCGACCGAAGCGCCGACCACGGCATCCCCTGCGTGATGATCACGTAAGGGAGCTGACGAGGCGCGCGCGCGCGCCGAACGGTGGGGGTCGGTGGCTCAGGTCCCACGGCCGCGCGCACGCGGCCTCCGCCTTCTGGCTCCTCTCCCCTCCTTCCCCCCCCTCTCTCCCCCTTCTTCCCCCCCCCCTCCCCCCCCTCCTTCCCCCCTCCCCCCCCCCCCCCTCCCCCCTCCTTCCCCCCTCTCTCCTCCTTCCTTCCCCCTTCCTTCCCCCTTCCTTCCCCCCTCCCTCCCCCGCCGGGGTATCCCCCCTCATCGTCAGGCGTCCTTGCCCGCAATCGGCGTGAGCTTTTGGCCGGGGCGGCGGGGCCAGACAGGTGAGGTTGCATGGGTCGCGGCCCATAGGAGTGAAGGGGGCCAGGAACACACAAATATACACACAAATCCCACGATTCCCCATATCTGAATTTTCACTTTCCCCCCCACTTCAGATGTTCTCCTATGCTTTCCTGGGAGCCGGCGATCAATTGTGTCTGTGTGACTTTCCCCCTCCTGAAGAGGAGCGGCTCGCGAAGGGAAACGGAGGTCCATGGGGGCGAGGCGCCTATCCGACGAGAGGTGTATGTTCTGTGGCAGGGGTGACAAGCCCTGCCAGGGCCCACCGACAAGGCGCCCCCCCCCCCAGGGGGAAGCTGCGCTCCCTCCGACGTCGGCGCACTCGGATCTCTGGCAGCTCGCCTGGGACCAACTCGGGGGCTGGGGGTGGGGTGGGACCCGGCATGGCTCGGATTCTCCACGTTGAGGCCAAGCCCGCCCCAGAGCAGCGCAGAGGCGCTGCAGCGAGTCCTTGCTGGCAGCGCCATTGCAGACTTCTGGGCCAGGACCATCGCGCGTCAGGCCAGAGGTCCAGAGGAGGAGGAGGAGGAGGAGGAGGAGGAGGAGGAGGATGATGATGACAAGCCCTGAGGTCAGGGTTCGGCCGCCTGGCCGGCCTCCTCAGATGAGGAGCACGTACTGGCCGACGGGCCTCACGACCTCTGCGCCAGCGCGACGAGCTGCTTGAAAGCCGCAGCCCTGGCCACCGCGCCGTCCCTCGACTCCTCGGAGTCGGCACTGGCCCGCTCCGCCCGCGGCGACGCAGCAGCCGCGGCAGCTTCGACGCCGTGCTCGAGGCCGCCGATCGAGGCACGGCGGCCGCCGTCCAGCGCGGCCACGCGGCCGCCGAGGCCGCCACCTTGCCCACGTCCTTGCCCTCGTACGCTCGGTGCGGCCCGAGGATCCCAGGGCCCTGGCCAACCGCCGAGGGCGGGGACTCTTTCCCAGGCAGGCCCGTGGCGCAGAGGGGGGTACGTGGCACACGGCCTGCACACCGCCCCCGCTGCTGCTGCCTCGGCGCCGCGCCCGCTGCCCTCGAGCTCGGCCGAGGCAATGGCGCCGTCGCGCTCGTCCAGGCTGGGTGCGGCTGCGCCAGGGGCCTGCTGCCCACGCGCGCCAGCCGCCGCCAGGAGGCGGGCGACGCGCTCGGCGAAGCCCAGCGGGCCCAGTGCCGTCGCGGCGTGGCCGTCCCGCGCGCCCGACACGCCACCGGCCGCGGCCGAGCCGCTCGCCACCCCCGCAGCAGCCTCCTCGGCGTCGTGCGCGGTGTCGTCCAGCGCGCCCACGGGGTCGACGTCCAGCGCGCCCGAGCCGTCGGCGCCCGCCGAAAGGCAGTCCGCCGCCCCCGCAGCTGCAGCCTCCGCGTCGTGCTCCGCGTCGCCCAGCGCGCCCTTGGTGTCGACGCCCAGCGCGTCCGAGCCGTCGACGACCGCCAGCGATCTGCCCGCCTCTCCAGCATCAGCCGCCTCAGCGCCGAAGCCCAGCGCGCCCAGGAGGCCGTCGTCCAGCGTGCCCGATCTGCCGAGGCCCATCGCTAGGCCGAGCGCCTCCGCAGCAGCTGCAGCCTCGGCGTCGTGCTCGTCGTCGCCCAGCGCGCCCTCGACCGCGACGTCCAGCGCGGCTGAGCCGTCGAAGGAGTCCTTCTCCAGGCCGAGCGCCTCCGAGGCTGCTACCTCCTGAGTGTCGTGCTCGTCGTCGCCCAGCGCGCCCACGTACTGTGCGCCCAGCGCGCCCGAGCCGTCGAAAGCCGCCGCCGAGCCGCGCAGCGCCCCCGCGCCAGCAGCCCCAGCAGCGGCATACTCCGTGACGTGCTCCACGCTGTCCGCCGCGGCCGAGGAGATGACGCACTGCGTGGTCTTGCGGCGCGGTCCCGTGCTGGCGGCGGCACTGGGCTTCCCAGCAGCAGCAGCTCCTTGGGCTCCCCTGAGTCGTGCCCCAGCACGCCTATCCCTTCGAGCTCCGCGAACTGCCGCCTGCTGGAAATCTCCTCTGGCCATCGCGTGTCCGAACATGGTGTTCCTCCCTTCCTGCTCGTCACACCAGGACTGTGCCCTTTCACGCACTCGTTGGTGAAGTGCAGCCATTCTGCTCTCAAAACCTGCCTCAGGCACTGCCCCGTCCGTGCCACTGAGGATGTCAACCTTCGTGAAAGTGGTGTGAACCTCGCCTGTCGTCTCCAGCCGTCGAAGAGGGGTGGTGCTGTCAATGAACTTCTTCAGCTTCTTGAAGGGACCGAAGCCACGCCTCAGGTTGTGGAGGACCTCGAGGCCCTTGGTAGTGGCGACTGCGCAGGGCTGTCGCAACTTGGCCTTGCGCCGCTGCAGCGCCCAAGCACCACACTTGACACAGATGAACACTGGCCTGTAGGTGTCCTGCCCGTCGCTCTCCAAGGTGCCCTTCTGGTTGACCGCGACCAGCTTGTGGCCATTGGGGTTGCGCCGATGGTCCAGCAGGAAAGTGGGCGTCCCAGGGCACCCCGTGAGGGGGAGCGGTTGCCCAGGCATGTGCAACTGTAAGCAGGTGATGCATTGCACGCCCAGCTCGCCATCTTGCCATTGGTGCCATGTTGCCTTCCTTGTGCTCGCTGCTCTCCGCCAGGTCGGTGCCCTCCTGGTCCACCTGATTTGGTCGCCCTTGTCGAAGATGGGCATGACGTGGGCGATCAGCTTCGCTAACTGGGAAATTCTGTCTACGCCCTTCTGCATCTCCTCGACTACGTGCAGCTCGGGGGCGGGGTGGATCGCCGCTGCCTCCTTGGCCCTGCGGTCCGCTACAATGTTCGCGTCCGTTATCCTCCTCTGGCTGTCGGAGAGCGCTGCGTACTCGTCCCCAGAGCGGTGCGCTTTGACGTGGGCGTACTGCTGCACATGCGCGAAGCCGTCGAGCGACTGCGCGAAGTGGGCGATGCACGCATATGGGGTCCTGGCCTTCAGCTGCAGCTCTTTCTGCTTGTTGCCCAGATGGATGACGCCCTTGAAGTCGGCGTGGACGGTGCAGGGTCGGTCTGCAACCTGAGACACGAAGGCTGCCGCTAGATGCTCTCCGACGGCAGACTCTTGGGGTAAGGATGCGGGTACTGCTCCGTGCATGGTCGCCAGCGGCTTGTCTGAGCGGGGGTCCAGCAGGGCGAGGCTCCATCCTGCTCGCTGGAATTCCTTGATGGGCGGCTTGGTGCACGATCCGTCAGTAGCGACCTCCATACTAGCATCGTCATCCCTGAGGAAACAGGCTGCCAACTGCTCAGGCTCCTGACATACTTCATCTGGTACTGGGACTCCTTGGCCGTCAAGTATGACGCTGGTAGTGCCCAAACTCATTGTCGGAACATCAGCACACGCATATCCAAACATACCCTCAATAAAACCAGGCTCATCTGCATGCATGCGTAGCCCGTCGAGGAAATGTTGTGGGACCTCTGCATCAGCTCGAGCTTGCTGAACTTCAGGTCTTGTGCAATCAAGAAGTCGGTGCACCAGCGAGTCGGGAGCTCCACAGGGACACCTACCATCTGTGTTGTATCCACGCTGTCCA